GGATGAGGCTGTGTTTATTCAGATGTTCCTCCTTATTTCTCTGACCTCCTGCCCGGTCAGCTGGTGTGGGCCTCCAAAGCTGAGATGCTCTTCTAGGATCCAGGGAATCCTACCCCCAAGCATGGGCTGCCTTGGTCTTGTCTAGGTCAAGGTGATGTCGTGTGAAAGTGTGACAGGGGTCCAAAATTGGTATCTATGTATCAGGTAAAAAAATAATTCCTTGAGGAGCATCCTTGGTTCTTTTGACTCTTTTGAGTTAAGAAGAAACAGGAATGAGAACATCCTTTGAGAAGCTGTGTTTCTTTTTTCTCTCAGGTGGTAGACTTCTGCTTGATCTATAGGTGAGCAGTGGCAAGGAGCTGGGAGATACCTGTGAGACATGGTGATGTTTGGGAACTCTTGGAGTAAGCCCTAGAAAGGCATGTTCCATCTCTAAGGCAAGGCAGTAGGGATACATTTGAACTTAAGAGGTATCCAATCTCATAGGGCTCCTAGTCCTCTGTGAGACACTTCCAAAAGACAGTTCCTCCATAAAATAGGTACCTGAGTTGAAGGACCCCAGCCCTGCCTTTGGCACACAGTGTGCTTGGGAACATGAGGGTGAGTGTTGCAGGAGCTCAAGTTCTATATTTTATGCGGATTAGAACACTAAGAGTGAGTGGCTCTGACTGAGAGTGGCACCTTGCTTTGGGATCACAGTACCCAAGTCAGCCAGTCTTGGCTGATGCTTGCATGCAGGACCTGATATGGGCAATTTACTGGACTTTTAGTGGTACTTTGTTTCTTAAATATGCAGAGATTTCCCTAAATCTTGGCTTAAACAGGTCTGTGCGTGGCCAGAACTGGTCTCTGCTTTCTTCTATTCTGTATTTTCTGGATCCAAGACCAGAAGGCAGTCCAATGCACTGCACACGTGTATATGGCAAAAGCTCTTTGTATTAGGAACTTTCTCTTGCTCCCTTTACCTACTTTTTTTTTTTGGTGGATGCTATTTATTATTCAAATGTGGGGAGAGTCGAGCCAAGTGGTGCATTGCTCTCATTAATTGTTCTCTGGGATTAAGGAATCGGTTAAAACCATATCTCCCTTAATCCTGTTTTATTAATTTTATATTCTTGGCAAAAAGAGAAGCAAAACAACAACCCCCCAACCCTCTTTACAAAGGGATCATGCAGCTTTCTGCTGGGTCCCTGAGAACAGGAGGTCTCTGGTGTTCCATGGATGCTCGTCTTTTTAATTTGATAAAATAAATTAGCACAGGATTAGAGCCTTCCTGACAGCACAGCTCAGCTGCAGTTACCACCTTGAGGGAGGCATTAAGCATCGTTTTGGTTGCACGGAGGTGGAATGGGAGCGTGCCGGCCCGCTTGCTCCTCTGGGAGACAGAACTTTCCTCTCAGTAGCAGCAAAACTGATGCCTCTCCTCACCACCTGGCTGCTGCCAAAGGGGCCACCTTTCTCCAGTGACAAGTCTTGTGTCAGGTGATGTGGTCGCTGCCTGCTCAGGTGAATGCACAAACCCATCAGCTCGTTTCATACAGCAGCCAGGGTGATAACTGTAATTAGCCCCTTTTGGGGTATTATGGAGCTGTAAATGAAATGGTTTCCTCTAAGGCAGCAGAGATTTGATTCCTGAGAGCGAAGGCTTGGTCTCAAAAATGGAAGTGGGACTTCTGCAGGTTTCATCTCCTTTTTGTGACAGAGAAGCTCCAGCTGGTGCTGTCATCAGATTCTGCTGGCATGAGAAATGTGTGGAGGCCAGGCTGTGAGGGAGCAACCTGTGGCTGCAAGGCAGATGTAGTGGCCTCCAGACTGCTTGTTTATGTGGCTACCATATAGGAGAGAAATGACTGTGGTGGTGTGTGGCTGTATGACCTCTTCCTTGGACAGAAGGGAACCTGCATTTGGCTCCCAGGAGCGAGATGGAACCAGTCCCGCAGCACTGAGGTTTGCAAGACACAACGAGCTGGACCATGAGCGTGGGGCTCAGTTTCTTGAGTCTTTTTTTGAGCACCATGATGCAGAGGCATTTGGTTCCTCAACTAGATGGAATATCTTGGATGTCTTGTCTTGTTCTTATCTTGAAGCTGAGGGCAGCTGTCTCCACCACTGAGTTGGACACTGGGGATACATTTCTGCTTACCTTTAATCTTTCAGTAAGTAAGGCTTTTGTAAGGCCTTTAAAAGAAGTTGTGCCTGAAATATTGCCATGTGTTTTCTCCCTGGAAAAGGAGTCTTGTTTGCCAATAATGGCAGTGGCTTTAGCAATGAGTCTGTAGTGATGCCAGCTGGGCCAGGCTGCGATGGAGGGAGGTTGGTCCTGTGGCATGGCAGCAGATCCACTCTCAGCTCCACTGCAAAGGGCTGCATGGATTAGCAGGTGTTAGCAGGGAAATGTTCTAATGCTGTGTTGGCCTCAGGGTCACTTCTGAAAGCTGCTTCTGCTTCTGAGAGTGTCTTTGACTCACTCTCTTCTGGCCTTGCCTGACCTCACCTGAACACCTTTGCTGCAGCATTGAGGGTCACGCTGAGTCTCTGGGGTTATTTTCAAGGCTCTTCTTATGGAAATTCCCACAATTTCAGTCATTTGAGCAGTGCAGAGATTTTTGCAAAAGGTCTTCCATTCAGTACTTATTTGTACAAGAAAGTTGTGATTAAAGGCTGCACAGACCCTCCAATAATACAACCACCAGAAAGTGTCTTCAGGGCTGGATTTGTCAAACATCCCAAATCAAGGCATTTTTATTTCCTGTAATTTCTTTACCAACCAGGCATTTCTTTTCTTCCACAACCTGCATGTTGTGGGGTTTTTTTGTTTGTGAAAAGTCACTAGATAGCAGAGAAGGTCACTCTTATAAAAAACACATAGTTCCTTTGGAGAAAAATTATAAAGCAAATGGCTTCATTTGTTTTATCCTGTCTGGGAACAACTTCCTAACTTGCTGTGTAGGAAGAGCCAGTGCTTGCTCTTCTGTTAGCGGGAGCCAGCAGGGAGCAAGAGGATGCCCCGTTCCCAGGTGCTGGGTATTCCCTGTGGACAGGCTGATGTCCTGCATGTGTTATTGTAGAAAAGGTTCAGGCAGGATTTCATTGCTTGGTAACGCTGTGCCCTGTGGAATCTCACTGGGATCCTGCAAGTTGCCAGGCTGGTGCCAAGCAAATTGTGTCTTATCTCAGCCCCCACACTGGACAGATGGTGGGGTGGGATACATGGAGCTGTTGGGGGTGAGCAGTGCTCTGGTCCTAGAGATAGGCAGAGGAATCCTCCTAATGGTGCCAATGGAAAGCTGAAGTAGGCTCCATCCTGCTCCTGAATTACCATGTTGGCTGGGGTGCAGCTCACAAAACCAGTGATGTTTGGACAGAAAAGCTCATCTGTGCAGATGCCTGGGTAACCTTGTCCTGGTTGGATTACCCTGTTGTTGAGGGTGTGCTGTGGCATGGCCTGAGCATCCTCACCTTTCTGTGGAGACACGAGCCAAAGCAGAGTGTGGGCTGTGAGCACTGTTGGAATTAGCCTTAGTGGTCACTGGCTTTAAAACAGCTGAGAAAAAGTAAAAAATACATTGATAAAAATGTCAAACAACCGCCTTCAGGTGCCCTGGAAGTGTTTTGATCTTGTTCCCAAACTTTTGGGCGAGACAAGAGCTACTTTAAGTCAATTTGAATTGCAAAGCATCCCTGATGTGCCAGTGAAGGAGACCTCGCACAGCCATGCACAAGGAAGCCAAAAAAACAAAGGCGTGTATTCTCAGATTTGAGGTAGGAATTATATACACTTAGAGTCATGAACTCTGGGTAATAATTGAAAGGTCAGATTGATGAGAGCAGCCTCCGAGATACGATTTCTATGACAGCTTGATGGATGCCCCACTATCAAGGTGTGCTTTTAATCATAATCTCATTACTCCACTTCTTATGGCTCGACTCACCTAAACTCATGGGAGGAACCTGGGGCCACCTCTAAAATGTGAATCGGCTTTTATTTGGAGGTAGAAGAGTTGAGTGGTTGGGAGAACAAAAAGGAAAGAAATGAGCCAAAGGAGAAAAAAAGATCTTCTGGCTGAGGATGAGTCAACAGTGGGTGCGACAGAAATGCCCTCGTTGCTCCAGAGCAAGGCTCTGGATAACTTTCTGCTGGCTGAGACCAGTGCAGGTGCTCTGAAGCAAAGAAGAGAGTCTTGAACCTCTCTCAGCATCAGCACGTGTCATGCCCATGAATCTCTGCGTTTCTGTCCCTGAGAGTCTGGGCCTGTGGCCTGTGAAGAACTGGCTGTTTCAGCTCTCCCAGGCATGAGAGGGGCTTTGTTTTGGGGAGAGATCCAGTGCTGGCTGTTCATGTGCTCTGATCTATTCATCCAAAACCCATGCTGAAGCTTTCCTGATGGCCAGCTATAAAACACTGAAGTGCTGATGGAGAGTACCAGCTTCCAGCAAAAGGTCCCTGCACCTTCAAGATGGGAAAAGCCTTTTTCTGAGGCCGTGGTGCAGAGGAGCTGAGAAGATAAACCTGAACTTTATCCCAACCGGGCCCCATAGCAGGCACTGAAGGGACAGCACCTCTGCTCTTTGCAACAAATACCAAGAAGCGACAGAGATCCACCACGTCTACTGAAGAGAGCCTAGGAGAAAGATGGAGAGGGATTTTTGACAAGGTCATTTAGTGACATGACAAGAGGGAATGGTTTCCAACTTAAAGAGAGTGGGTTTAGATTGGATACTAGGAAAAAGGTCTTCTCTGTGAGGTGAGTGTCACACAGGTACAGGTTGCCCAGAGAAGCTGAGGATACCCCATCCCTAGGAGTGTTCAAGAACAGGTTGGATGGGGCCCTCACTCTAGTGGAAGGTGTCCCCGCCTGTAGCAAAGGGAACAAGATGATTTTTAAGATCCTTTTCAACACAAACCATTATAGGATTCTATTATTCTATGTCATCAGGACCATGGTAACCATGGGGGGCTGGCTGGTGGCAGCTCCCCAAAAGCATCCTCACGGGCTCCTCTGTGAGAGCTCAGCGCCAAAGCTGGAGGGTGCCGGGGTGGCACCTTGTGTCCCCGTGAGCCCATCCTGCAATTCATCCTCGCCTCCCTGGAACCTCCTGGAAGAGTTAGTATGGAAATTTCAACCTATTTTTAAGGGTTATTTTCACTCAAGTGAAATCTATCAAAGAAGGAGGGTTATTTTTACAGCACGCAGCAAGCGCCGGTTGCCATGGCAGCGGGCGGGCGAAATGCAATAAAGCATCCCTCTGTTATCGTAAACACAAAGGGAACCACGGGCACCGGGAAGAAAGGCGATTGTCGTGGGGGAAACAAGGCAACTCCGTGGTGCACTCACCAAGGGAGGTTTTGTGGGGTCCTCCGTGCCCATGCGGGGCCCGGCAGGCCGAGAGGACTGAACCCCTCTGAGGTCCTGCTGTGAGTGTTGAGGACACCGGCATGTCGGCCTGGGATGAACTTTTCCCCCCTTCTTCATCTGAAAAAACTCAGAAGAAGTTTAGAAAATGCATCATCTAAAGAGGGGGAACACACAGGACTCTGTATTTTTTTTTAATCTGACTTCCAGGACAAGGAGCAGTCGGCTGAAGAGGTCTCTTCTTTTAAATGTTTGCTCACTGTGAAGAGATTTTGCATGCAATTGGAGGGTTCAACCTCTCCACCTCTTCCAAGTGTGCTCTGTCTGTGTAATAATTTAGGTGTCCTGTTTCACCTCAGAAGCTGAACAGGTATGTGTAACTGGAGTATCCTGATGCTGCTGGGCCCAGGAGAGCCTTGGTCAGCGTGGGTGTAAGCAGCTCCCAGAGAGGTGGGAGACCCCAGCTGGGATATCCCTCACGAGCTGTGGCTATTCCTATGCATGTGAGCCCTTGGCTGTCCCAGCAGCATCACAGGGACACAAATAGAAACTGCACCAACCCCTCGAGGTACGTGTTTTATCTCTGAAGAATGTGCTGCTGTTGGGCTCTATGGAAGTCACATGGCTGCCCCTTGTTGCTCTCCCCCCCCAAGAGTGACTAAGGTGGCACATTTTGGGTGCACAAGGGATGGCTGGGCAGGGAGAAGCCCAACGCAACCATCACCATGTGCTGAAGCTTCTGTAAGTACCATTGTGGGTGTTTTCATTTTGAACTCTCACCAGGACCACCAGTAATGTGCAATAAGAGCAAATGCCTTCCTTACCACATAGAAGCCTCTTCAAGGACCTGAGAGCTTTTTTGGGGGAGTTCCAGGCACTCAGAGTGCTTTTGTTCAGAAACATCTCGAATTGGGTACCAAAGCTCAGACAATCCAAAATGCCTTGCCTTTTGACTCACCCCAGAGATGTCACTGAGTTCTTGGATTCGTCACTTAGCTCTGACACTGGAAAAAGCCAGTGGTTTTGAATTTCATGATGTGGGGCAAAAGCCCAGCAGGTGTGAGCTTGTGTCACTGAGGTGCCACTGCAGGCCAAAGTTGTCTTCATCCTTTCCCTGTGGAAACTGAGTTGGGGATAACTGACCCTTGCAGAACAAACTCTCTGAACACACCATCTCCCAGCCCAGCCTAAGGTCAGTCCCACCCCAATAAGTATATAAATCCTCAAGAACAGACAAAGAAGTTGGCCATCCCATCACCCATGAATGCCAGGGGACAGGTGGGTGTGAAAAAGGTGAATCTCTTGCACCAATCAAAAGTCCAACTCCTGCCTTATGCTGATCCAAGATCCTGCTGTAGGGTTTGCAGGGCAATGGCTTTGGAGCTGGGGAGCTTGCTTTTGCAGCAACTCATAAGCAGGGAAAAGGAACAAAAGCAGGACTTGCTGTGCAGCAGCGTGTGTATAAATAGATCCCTGGGAGGGTGAGACCAGTGGGAGGGAAGAGATCGAGATGATTTCTCTTTCTAAGGGAATGGTCTTGACACTGCTTGCCTTTATGGCTGAACCCTGTAGTATCAAGCCATTGCTCCTTGTGCCCTTATCTAGACAAAAAACCCCAGCTACTTGCCAAGGGAAGGGGATTTGCACCATTTTTTAAAAAAAAAGGTTAATGGCTTTTTTATTGAATAGTAAGGAAAAAATACAATAATGCTCAGCTGAGGATGTATCTTATCTAAAAAGGTTGCTAATGATTAGGGTTTATATTGAATTATTAGAGAGTCAATAACCACGGTATGTAGCTCTTGGGGAGTCCCTCTGAGGAGGAGCACCAGATCTGCAGCAGTCCGGTGGCTTTTAGCCAAGCTCTTGCCTGGGGAGGAGCATTTTCACCAAGGTCTTCTCCAAAGCAAAGTCAAGGAGCGCTTCCCCAGGGGACTTGGGTCCAAGCCCTCCCTCTGACAGCACGGCACGATGTACTGGCAGAGTGCTTGATGATCTCCCTGAGATTAAACTTAATTCACAACTCTTTAACCTAAGGTTCCCGTTCATAAGTGTTTCATTATTAAGGGGTGAGTACGTGGCAGCTCCATTCTTTAATAGCGTATATAGCATGTTACACTTTACAATGCATTAGCAATAAATGCTTAATGGAAGAGGCTATATCAAGCTGTTAGGTAGAAAGCCTATTATAAAATGTGGGCTCCTGCTAAAACAACGTGTGCGTCTGTTTAACACCTGATGTTAACTCAGAAAAGCGTGTTAGAAAGCTCTGCTCTTTGGCACAGAGAAAATAAGGAGCACTTTATGTATTAAAGTGTCACCAAAATTTCCTCGCTTGTTTAAAACAATCTTGAGAAAGTGTTGTCTAAAAGGCAGCTGGCTGAGATGGGAAGTCTGGAGGAACCTGTCAGAAGCGGGGGCTGGAGGGATCTGGGGTGGGAGGGGATGTGCAGCAAGGCTGGATCAGGTCTGCTCAGTGCAGCATGGAGGTGAACTGCTTTCAGAATCACAGAATGGTTTGGGTTGAAAGGGCCATTAAACACCTTCTCATTCCAACCCCCTGCCATGGGCAGGGATGCCTCCCACTAGACCAGGTTGTTCAAAGCCCCATCCAGCCTGGCCTTGAACGCTCAGGGTTGGGGGCATCCTCAGCTTCTCTGGGGCACCTATTTCAGTGCCTCACCACCCTCAGATGGTGACTTTGGGACCAGCTTAGCCAGACTAGCCTTCTCAGGCTTCCAAAACAGACCTGTTGTTCCCCACTGTGACTTATTCAGTCCTGACCCCTTTGTCTTATTCCAGTGCTTCAGCAGTTAAATGGAAAATGGTGTCTGAGAAGATTAGAATTAAGTTATTAAAGCATCTGGACACTTCTAAGAGGATTGCTGAGCATCGTAGTACTCAAGATTGACTTGAGAATTTGGGGGTGGATTTGCAGCTGGAAGAAATTCCTCATGTACTGTATACCTGCCCCTTGTGTATATGTTAGCATACTTGGCACAGATGTCTCTTTGTTTCCGTACAGGAAACTAATTGCCTTTCTTGTTTCAGTCTGAAGTTTTCTTGTGTCATTCTGTAAATAATGAGAGGCATTTCTCAAAGTTTGCCAGCGCCTTTGTTTCTCTTGACGGCGCTTCAGCTGCTTGCCCTGCACTAGAGGAGCATCCCCCTTGCTGGAAACCTCGTGTCATCTCAGCAGGGTCTGCACTGGCCCAGAGGTTTGTCAGCTGGGAGATGTCCTGCAGGGAAGCAGAAGTGGGGAGAAGGAGATTTTATGTGAGACTGACAAGCTTTGCCTTTGAGCTCACTCTAAGTTCCAGCTTTTTGTGTGAATTCCTGTAGATTAAAGTTCCTTATTTATCCTCAGCACAGTGGGGGCTTAGGCAGCAGCACCAGCTAACACCTCCTGTGACCCCCAGGGATGTGACCCCCAGGGGTGCAGCTCCTGCCTGTAAGGGGACTTTTCTCAGCCCCCGAATGCTTCTGACTCTCTGTTTCCTTTCATGTGCCTTTTAGAAGCTGATTTTTTGGTAGGCAGTCTCTCCTTGGCTCTAAGCTGTATCTCCTGAGGTTTAAAGAAGAAGAGCAGAAGTTCAGCTTGTGACAGAATTGGAAACAATGTGATACCATGATGGAAATCCAGCTCTCTCCTCCTGGTGCCAAATGATGGTTTGCTACAGACCCGTGGGAGAAGAGATACCCTCAGAGCTTTCCCAGGAAGTTAAGCTGGCGCAGACACAGAATAAAAGAGGGATGAGAGAGCCTAGAGCTAGCCTAAAATTTTATCTGCTGCTCCAATTTGATGTGAAAGAGGAATTCAGGTCAGTAATGAGAGCAGATGTGAATGCTTGGTGCAGAAGGGTTTGCTGCTGTAAACTGAGCAGAGTTTACAGGTGCTTGAACAGAGGAAGGGGAGGTTTGTCCTGTGGGAAGGGGGAGGATCAGCTCCAGTAGTGGGTCGGTGACTGTCCAGGTCCACCCAAATCCAGGTGAAATATCACTCCCCAGGTCTCGTGGCACACATGGAGACTGAGCCCCCTGAGCAGAGGGCATGCAGCTGGGGCACAGCATCACAGCTGGCACAGGCGGGCAGGATTCAGTACAGGGAGCAGCAAGGAATCTCCGCTGCTGCTGACCTGGAGGCTGCCACCCATCCTTCATCCATCCCTATGCACAGCTGCTGAGCTGGCAGGGCAGCTCTAGTGGCTCCATCCCAGCCACTGGCAAAACTGGATGCCATTCCTGCTTTCTTATTTTGGTGTTACTACCACAGTTCTGTTTTCTACAGCATAATTTGGGCTACAGAAAAAATGAGGGGTTGCAGTCAGCAGAGGAGCACCAAGGAGGGCTTATGATGAGAGGAAGGTTTGGCTTTGGCTGGTTGAAAACCACCTGGGAGGAAGACTTGTGGGTGGTCAGAGGATGCTGTTGGACATGTCTGAGCCAGGCTTTTCCTGCCCCCCTGGTGCACTGGGCTGTGTAAGTGCTCCCAGATTAGCTCCTTGTGCCTGTCTGAGAGCGTGGCTGCAGAGATGGGGCAGCTGGGAGAGGATGCTGAGCCCTGCCTCAGTTTCTCCTCTTGGTGTAACAGGAGAAGGGAGTCTGTGGGCCAGCTGAAAGGAAGGGAGGAGGTGCTGTTGGGCTGTCTTGCCAGCTTTTGGGGGTACACTCTGGCTGGCCACCCTTCCTGCTGGGCTAGCTATTCATCAGGAATGAAGCTGGCAGGGAGGGATGAACATCCTGAGTCGGCTCAAGCCATCAGATCTCTGTCAAGGATTTGGCCTGGACTTTTATTACCTGTCCCTCTTGTCACTTTTGTGTGAGGAAGCAGGGACATGGCGGGTACCTGGTTACTTTGGGGCTGTCACATCTGCTGCAGGGGGGGACAGTGCAGCTTGTGACAGCCTGGTGTCATTAGCGCTGGCCTCTGAGGCTGCTGCCAGTCGGGATTTACTGTCCATCTCCCTGGGACCAGCTGAGCTGTCCACTCCCTGCATGGCAGCCCCTCATCCTGAGCACGGCTGGGGCATGAATCCTGCCCCGTGCTCAGCATCCCTGGACGAGGAGCTACGGTCTCATATCCTTCCTCACACGGGGAGGGGGAAACGCTTCGGCACCGCTAATTGTGGAGGGCTGGTGCTTTCGGCGCTGCTTGCCTCAGGCTGCCAATCACCCCTCGCTCCCCTGCTCCCGCCGCAGCGCCGGGCATCACGTCAGCTGTGTCTCGGTGTGCTCTGACATCGGCCTGACGCCTGGACCGTGCCGGGGCAGTGACGAGCAGTAATTGGGTCCCCCCTCCATCGGCATCACCTGTCAAGGCCGTGGGGCGGAGGCAGCGAGTGACTTTGCAGCCGTCCAAGGAAGAGCTCGGACGCTGACACCTTTCCGGTGGAGACAGACCTGCCAGGTGTTGACTTCTGCTGGCAGTGAGGATGCTCTGCAATCACAGATACCGGTTCTCAGCTGGGGTAAGGGAGTAAATTGATAGCACCTTGCTAGCTTGCACCATCCACAGGACTGTGGGATGACCCTGGGGGTGCCTTGAGGAACATCAGGCTACAGGTATTGTCTTTAAGAGGGCTGGCATGCCCCCTAATCCCCCCAGTCTCATTTAGAGATGCCAAAATGCACTTGTAAAGCTGCCTGATGCAGGTGTGGCTGACACCTCGCCAAGGTGGGTGTGAAAGCTGCTGCCAGACGTGCCCCAGCAGCAGGGCTGGGCACGATGCTGATGTTCTGTATGTGCCAAGGGGTCCTTTGATCCCCATGGGAACAGCATGACCAAACTGTTGCCAGCAGCCTGTGATTCTTCCAGGATCTAGTCTGACCCTGCTTGATTTTGGGGTGAGGACTTGCATTCCAGCCCAGTGTGTCTGCAGTAAAAAAGGGGTTGCTGCAGAGAGTGCGTATTTGAGGTAGATGATGGCAACAAGAACACTGTAATTCCCACCCAGTGTGCCAACCCTCATGTCACTGCTGAGTCCACCTCTCCTCATCATTGCCCCTGTAGGCCTTGCCCCTGTGATTTTCTCTAACTTTGTAATTTTTGAGGGCCCTTAGTGTATTTTCCCCAGCTCCTCTCCCTGCACCCATCTCACAGGCTGTGTGTGACAGTGTATTTCAGTAGTGATTACAGTAGCGATGAAAGCCCTTTTTTGTGTCGGGGCTGGCCGGCAAGGCGGGGAATGTTGTCTTCTCCATCATCACCATGCTGATCAGCAGCACCCCCTTCTCATCTTTCCACCTCCAGGGAGGCAGCATGTGATGCTGACGAGGGCTGCTGCTGCCTGCTCCACATCAGCTGGTTGTGTGGCATCAGGAGCAGCGCGTCCCCCTGACAGCACATCTGCAATTACTGGGAGGCATTTTTGCCTGTAGCTGCACATCCCGACTGCATTTTCAGCAATAACAGCTTCTTTGTCTTGGGTATTTTACCCAATCTCTTGAAATCAGGGGCTTTGGCAGCTATTTTTGGCTTTGAACCTGGTCATCATAATTTGCCCGTGTTTTTTGCGGTGCTGATATCATTCTCTGTGGCAGGGGCTGTGGGCTGGTGCTCGGTTAGTCCCAGGGTGAGTGATGGATGTCAGTAGTTTAGGATCTGTGTGAGGTTTTAGGTGGTTTCTCCTCAGCCATGATGACTTTCACAAAGGTTTCCCCACCACTGGGACCTTCCCTTCCACAAGGTCTCCCAGCATCTGGAGCGTGGTTCTCAGCTTCCTCAAGGTAACCTCCGAGACCAAAATCCAACAAATGGCCTATTTAAAAGTGCAGACCTTGGAGGTCTCAGGGTCCCCAGGAGGCTGCCAAAACCCTGCTGATGCATCTGCTCTGCTGAAAAACTTGGCTCCTGCCTTCATGGCTCTGCTCTCACTCCCTGAGCAAGTGGAAGTGCTGCTGGGCTGCCTCTCCTCAGGGCTGGGGCTGCCAGGGCTCAGCTCCCTGCCTCGTGCCTGCCTCTGCAAGCACAGCATTGCTCTGCTGCCTTCTGCCAGGTAGATTTGAAGCTTTTAAAGCACAGCCACAAGACTATCTCATCTGTGCTTTCAACCTTCCCCAGGAGTCTCTCTGATGTGTGCACTGAGCTGGGCTCTGGTGTTGTGTGTGGATGGTCACACAGGGAAGAGAAACGGCTTTAAACACACAGAGAGTAGTTTAGACTAGATATGAGGAGGAAATTCTTTACTGTGAGGGTGGTGAGGCACTGGAACAGGTTGCCCAGAGAAGCTGTGGCTGCCCCATCCCTGGAAGTGTACAAGGCCAGGCTGGACAGGGCTTGAAGCAACCTGGGGTAGTGGAAGGTGTCCCTGCAGGGAGTTTGAACTGGGTGATCTTTAACATCCCTTCCAACCCAAACCATGCTGTAGAAAAAAGAATTGCTTGGAATTTAGAAAATTAATTAAAATAGTAAGTGAGTAGAGAACCTGAGGCATTCCATTGTATATTTTTAAAAAGGTGCTTGCCGCTGTTTCCCAAAGGTCCTGCTGAGGGAGGCAGCTTCCTCCTCGCAGTCTGGTAGGAGCAGGGACATTATCTTGAGGCAGCACCCCAAAACTGTTTCCTTGAAGATGTCCTTTCTATCTCAATATTGCTACTTTTTGTTTGTGTTTTCCAAGCATTTTCTGACCGCATTAATGATTACAGCAAAACAGGATTCTTACTGGCAGCACAAATCACTCTTTCAAGATGACACCAGCACTTACAGTATTATTACTGTCATTAACAGAATTATTATTATGACTTTGCCATGCTATCCCTTTCTAAAGAAAGCAATTCAAATCCAAAGATTCTGGCCTAAAAATATCCCATCCTCATTTTCCTCCCTATCCCAAAAAGAGGTCACACCAGCCCTTCTGGGTAATAGAAGAGCATCTATTTCTATGGATGTACTTATGCTGTGGTTTAGGTTATCGAGCACATTTCTCAGGCCTGTGTTTTCCTAACTGTACATCTGCTGAATTCAGCTGCCTCTGGGCTCAGCAGTGGTCTCAGGTCTTCTGCAGCCTGTGCCCACTTTGCTGGCTGGGGACAGAGCCAGGCTCTGCAGCTGTGGGGAGCAGCAGGCACTGCTCAGTGGAGAGGTGACATTACCAGGTGTTGGCCAGGTGTCCCCTGATGTGACTTGCCCAAAGGACAAAGGGGGATTGATCCCAACATCCTGCTTGAGATGAGATGCCTCTCTTCTTTCACCTGAGCTTCAGAGCGCCGCTGATCCCATCCATCTAGAGGGCTGTATTTTTGGCTACCCTGAAATTAGCTGCCAGGCAGTAAACCAGGGAGGTGACAGAGTGTTTGTCACAGCTGGGACTGTCCTCGCCAGGCTGAAGGTAGCTGGATGATAGGATACACAGGAGAGGACACATTGTTCCTCGTCTTGGCCCGTTATGGCTTTACAAATGACTATTCCAAGCTTAGTTCCAAAATGGTGTCGTGGCTTTCGCTGCTGTCATCAATTGCCATCAACACTGCATTTAGCTGACATAATTACTTATTGTTACAATCAGTGCCCATTAGGTTAAAGCTAAATTACAGTCTCAGTCCTTGGGAACTGCCTATTACATCCATATGAATACGCAAAGTTCATCACTCATGATTAACGTTGCTACAGTGAATACAAAAGGAATTAGTGAGGACCTGTCACTTATTGTAAAGTGCTGCCAGATTATGGTATCAGAAATGATGTGTCAACTGTTAAAACTTAATAATCCATGCTGGAGTGCTGTATCTGATTATAACACTGATCAAAGGAGAGGCCTGATTGGCACT